ATACATATATAGATATCATTGTGTGTGCGTGTGGTATATGAATTAGCAATCCACATGTGTATTGGATGTGCATGTGTTCGTAACTGGTAACTGATTCTGTCTAAACGTGGTGTGTGTAGCATGTATGGGCTTAAACTGGTGATAGGTGTGCATGAACCTAGACTGGTTATTTTGAACATGCGTGTATCGAAGTTGCTAGTGTAAGTGTCTGTGTGTGTTTGTATATATGTATATATGACATGGTATGCATGATATACGAATTAGTGACCGGTGTCTAACTTTTGGGGTGTATAGTGTATGTGCTTGAATTGGTGATAGGTATGCATGTGCCTAGGCTGGTTTGGATGTGTATGTGCCTGAGCTGGTAGTGGGTGTGTGTGTATGCACTTAATTGATTTTTGTGTGTTTTGTAGATGTTCAATTGTGTCACACACTCCTGTCTAACAGCGCAATATTGAGATCCTGAAAGTTGGCCTGACCCCCCAGGGCAACACATGGATGTAATGAAGGCAGGAGGGCCCCATCTCTTCTGGCTCCAGCACTTGCAGTTTGGCTTAGGGGGAGATAGATGGCTGTCACCCGGCAAAGCATGAACTGAAAGAGAGGACAGATGGAGATGGGGTTTGTCTTTGTGACTTCACAGACAGCCTGGGGTTAGCAGTTGAACTGCCCCTAGATGCAGTTTAGGACCCTGCTGTCCTCCCTGTAAAAGGCAGCACAATTTCCAGGGATTTTTACTGGCCGATACATTTCCATTCCCAAGCTCCACGCTCCTTTTTCAGGTGCAGCGATCTCCTTGACCATCCCCAACTACATTGTCTCTCTGGTGGGTTAATCACATTAATATTTACTTTGTGCTTCCTTCTTCTTCTCACAAATGCAGAATCGAGTGTCTCCACAGCCTCCAGCTTTAACTTTATTACCTTGCAAATATGAACAAGCTCCACCTGGATAATTCTGAGGACTGGGATCTGAGAGCATAAACCTGGAAGGCAAAGCCACAAGCTACAGTCAGGTCTATTCTTCTGAGCCCTGTGTTAGGACATAGAGCTGGGAGTTCTCCCTGCTCACAGCACTGACTGCAGGGGATGCTCTCAAGCCATGACCCAGCAAAAGGAAGGTCAGAGGTGTTTTACAGCTCAAGCCATTATAATTGGTTGGATGAGAAACAGGCAGCACAGGACTCCAATGTGCCATGAGAGTATAAATGTGCACTCTCGGGGCACATTTACAAGGCAGGGTGTGGTCACATTTGATTACTCAACACACTTCTTATGAAGACTATTTCAGCCTCCAGAAACTGGTTCTGCAATCAAATTTGCAAAATATTTTGTTTTCTCTGCCTCCTTTGTACAGTGGCAACAGCATCTGGGGGTCTTTGCGATACAACAATGAGCTAATAGCACAAACCCTCTCCTGCCAGCAGTGTTAGTTCCTTATGGCTCCAGGGCAAATTACATCTAGGTGCAAATACTGCACTTCATTGCAGAGCTGAGTACAGCTACACATGCAGTGCCTGGAGCTGCTCATCTGTGAACTTCCACTGGTGGTGCTACCTTCCCCAGTCCTGCCTCATCACTAGGCAGCCACTGTGCCCACCCCATAATCCTGCCCTTTCCTGAGCAGTGTAGTTTGCTGCACATAGAAGGGCAGGCAGACATTTTGCTAAACTATTAATCCCCTCCACCCGACCAATGCTCCTGTGGATGCCAGAAGATGCCACGTGCACTGGGGGTGGGTGCTGGCCTGGAAAACCCTGCATGAGCAGACACAACTCCAAAAGCTGACCTTATCCCCTGAGGTACAGACCAGGGGTCATCAGGTGCAGACGGCACAAAACTGGGAAACGGGTTGGTTTCTTTCAACTGTACCTCTCATTTCTGGTGTGATTTCCTCTGGCAGGAGAATAGCATCTGTTATATGTTTTGTGTTTTGAACCTGGATCTTAGACAGACAAGACAGACTAAAGACAGAAACACTCAATTACCAGTGGGGGCACATTTCTCACAGGAGGGCCACTCTCTCTCCAATCTCTCAGTCCTGATCCTCAAGGGAAATTTACACAACACATCCCTGAGACGAGCCTATGAGCTCCATTTCATCAACCTCCTGGATACTAGAGATCAGGGACTAAACAGAGACATTGGATTTTTGATACATTACAGTCTGCCTGGCAACTGACTCCCCAGCCCAGCCCAGCCCAGCCCCTGGCTTCTTTACTTTTCATTCCATCCAGGAAGAGCACACACCAACTGCTGCAGCTTCCTGAGCCTGACGAAGGGTTTTTGAACCCAAAAGCTTGCTTAATAACTATTCTCCAACCATTTGGGTTGGTCTAATAAAAGATATCAAATTCACCCAAGGAACCTTGTCTTCCTATATCCTTAGACCAACACGGCTACAACCTAAACCCCTGGATCTTAGACACACACCCACCCCCCCCACCCACCCCCACACACACACACACAGATACATAAATACACTTTCTCAGGTATAAGAGTGAAATGTGCTGCCAAATTTAATCTAGGAAAAATGTGTGCGCCAGATATCAAAAGTTTGGGAACCACTGCCGTAGTGACACAGACTTACAGGCCAGAGGAAAGAGCTGAAGCATCCGCCCAGACCCACTTTGCCTTTCTGGAGTCAAACATCAATCCAATCCAGAATGGGTAGTAGTATACGCTGCTTCCACGATCTTCAGCATATTCATAAGACCTTGCAGTTAAGAAAATCTGCACAACAATAGGATCAGATGGAATGGCAATGAGTTATCTCAAACACATGGAGAGGACCAGCAGAGCGTATGCTATAGCCATGAGACTCAGTGCAGAAATCCCCCCTGTAGAAAACTGGGTAGCCTGTACCTGCATAAGACCCACGGTCAAGCTGGCCAGGTAAGTTCTCAAACCTACTGCAGCTAATACTGTAGGATCAGACACATGGCTAAACCCATGCACACAGTACTCTGGAAATATAATAAAACACCTGTGTGCATAGAGATAAACCCCTCACTGAATCCTATCCTCCCCATCCTCCCTACCCCCAGCCCACTTGAAGCTGTGCCAGAAAGTGCAGCCCTAGAGCCTGACTCCTTCCTGGCTGCACTCACATGGTCATATTGTACTCGTATATTAAAGAAATCTCTCATTTACCAACTCTTCTTTAGTCTCTGTCTTGAGCAGCTCGGCAGATTGAGAAGTGCAGGAGGAATTACATTGATTCCAAGTTCCTCTTTTAGGAGAAAAAAGGTAGGACCTGTCCTGCTTGGCAATCCAGAGCACTGGACACTTCTCCCCTGGAACAAAGACACACCACAAATCAACCCATCACTTTCCCCATTGCCCTGTGCCGGGCATGTTGCTGTCAGGAAAAAAATGGATTTCACCCGCTCTGATCCTCCACCTCATGTACCTCATGGGCCCTACAGTGCATTGGAGGGGAACCTTCTGTTTCATGCATCTGAAAGGGGATCGGTCTTCCCCTCCAAGAATAGCTGCTTCTCTGCGTACAAGGGCATAGAGTGGCGCCCACAGCCTTATTGGTGAGTCAGGAGCCTGACACGCCCAGACAGAAAGGATCCCTCTTTCTCCACAGCTCCCCACCAGCAGGACCTCATGGCTGCATCTCCAGGGATATCCCTCAGCCAAGGCCAGTCCATCTTTGGGTAGTGATGTTGCCTCATGTACAGGACTGGACCTGCCCTGTAGAGACAACAGCCTATGATTTACCAGAGTCCTGGGGCTGCTTTCTCAATGTTCCCGGCAGGCTGGGTTTTTGGTAGGACATTGGCTTAGAGATGTGGTGCTCCCCTACCATCACGGGGTTTTCCTGCTTTCTGCCTGGCTGACACACTGAAACATCAAAACAGCACATCAGTGCCTGTTATTCATAATAAAGGCTGCAGAAAACTTTCACAGATCCGACGCTCTCTCTTGTGCAGTGTCACACACGCCTCGGTTGCACTAATACTGTTTGAACTTACAGCTGCTGGACAATTTTGGGTGGAGCACTTTTTCTTATTGCAAAAATAAGGATTTCTCAGAACTGAGCCCCAGTGCACAAACAACAATTTTGACTATGAACTCCATGGAGCTGGTTCTGGCTGGCAATGGAAACCTGTCTTGTTCCGAGGATGCCCACCTGGAGGGAGGCAAAGGAGACGGGCTCCACCACAACTTCCTTGCAGGACTACCTTGGAGCTGGGCCTCTGGTGGCTTTCATCCCCAAAACAGAAAGCTGAGGGATTGCATTTTGGAAAGAAATGTTGTGGCTCAGGCTCTCTGCTCCCATATGGGGCTAAGCACATAACAAAAGCTTTGTTTTGGCTTTTTTTTAAGAACTGACATGCAGGTCTTGCCCACCTCAACCTACCTTGGTTGGCAGAACCATTGTGACTGGTCACAATGCAAAGTGTTTCTAATTCCTCATTCTAGTGAAAACTGTCTTGATGTCTTTGTTCCCTTCAGTATAAAAGAATTCTATCATCATCCTTATGTTAAATACAAAAGGTTTGACTAACTTGTAAAAATAACCCAAAGCTTCTCCTCCTCCTTTTCTTCTGTGATACTTGGGCTTTGTCACTCACCATATGCTATGTTGAGGTCCTAGTAAGCACTGATAAGACTTTGGCATTTTCCTAAGTTGCACATTAATACTCATTGAGCACATCTACATGTGCACATTTACTGCACAGTAACCAAAAATTACTGTGCAGTACAAGTACACAGCTACACACGCACACCTGTACTGTGTAGTAACTATGGCAACTTATGCTGACTTAAGTGTAAATTTGCTACCTGCATGATGCAGGTAGCAAATTTACACCCGATTAGTTACTGCATAGTAATACATGTATAGAGGCCTTACTGCACAGTAACACTGTGTGTCTGGACTGATGGGACTAACTTTAGTCCCAAGTCAAAGCACACACAGCATTAACGCTCTTTACACCTGGATGTGTAGACACTGGCCTTTTTCCACATACTGCACAGTAACTTACTAAGCCCGAATAAATTTAATGCACAGTGAATGCACATGTAGGCATACCCAGAGTCTTGATCCACCTCCTGTGCACTCCAAGGACTGATACTGGAAATCAACTGAATTTTCAGTCTCAGCCCAAGGACCCACCACAGCCAGTGGATTGTGCATCCTATCCCTAAAACCATAATTGATTGTCTTATCTCCATGGAACAACCCCATGTTAATATAACTCGTGTTACTTAATATGCTTGAGAAATAATCCTCACTTGAAACGGCCTAAGTTTGCTACATTATGGGGACACTAAGCAAACGTTACCCTGCTTCAATACTCAGATGCTAGCATTTTAAATATGGTTAACCAGCACAGTAAGTGTAACGTGTAAAACCCCCTTAGGAACATTGCATAAGTTTACAATTTCTGAAGACCTGAAATATTCTGCTTCTAAACCTCCTTATTAAATGGCCCATGTTCACCTCTGTCTCAGTGAATCTCCATGGGGTTTCATTACAGTTCTAGTCTCCTCCTCAGATTCTTTTCCCGCCTAGGACACTTTCAATGCCTGAGCTATTTGAATTCTCCAGGGAATCAAATTGACCCGAGGGATCAGATTTCACTTTGTTTCTTTTACACCTTATCATCGTAACTGTAAAAGAAAACATTTCCTGAACTGAAGCTGTGTAACTGGATGTACCAGAGACAGAAAATTTCCTGCTTCTTTTTTTGAGACATTTTGTGTCACCAGCATTTCCATATCAGCTAATTTCTACTTATCTAACCCCTACCACTCTCTATAACTTGACAGCAGGATATGGGGAGCTTGGGGTCCCATTACATACTTACTCTGGGCACCATAGATCCTGGCAGTGATCAGGAAAAGCAGGCACAGCAACATTATCCCAAGGACCAGTGGAATGGGGGACCATGGCGGGGATGCTGGGGCAGGCTCTAGCAGAGGGAGAAGAAAGAACAGAGAAGCGATGAAATGGGAAATCTTCCCACCTATGAAGTTGGAGTGCACTGGAGCATTTCCAGAAGCTATAAGCAACAACGCTCTACAAACCACAGGTCAAAACTCCTCCAAATTGTCCTGCACTGACTGGACAGTCATTATGACTGAACAGCAAAGTGGATGTTTTGGTAGAAGTATTGCATGAGGCTGCTGGGGCTGGAAGACAAGCGGTCTTTGCTCCCTTCCCCAGCCCTAACTCCCAGTGGAAAACTCTCCCTGAGTTAGGAGACCAAGTCCAGGGAGCAGTCCCGGGTAAATGCATGTAACCCTGTAACACATGGGGTAGTAATCACCAGATTATTACGTAGACAGACCAATGCAGTGTGAAGATTCAGGAGATCCCCTGTGCCCTGGCAGGACTGTGAGGAGGAGTGACCATGGCCATTTCCTTCACCTACCAGAGTAATCTTGGAGGCACAAGGGAGAGAAGGAACCGCACAGAGGGGAGAGCTGGGGTATCTTGTTCTATCATGTTGTCGTGGCAGAGGGGAATTGCAATGACTGAGCTCTCTTCCAAGCCAAGTGCACTTGATTGCCCCACAGCCCCTCTGCCCCACACAGTACCTGTGTGCCCAGCACGCCAAGGGATCTGTCTCTGGTGCTCTGGAGGAGTTTCCAGTCTGAATTCTGATGGTGGTGAAGCGTCCTCCTGCCCATGCATTCCCAGCATGTCCTGGGCAGATTTAAATTCAGATGGAAGTGATTCAGGGCTGGGCTGGGATGTGTCTAGAAACTGGTGGGTCTGAGTGACTCAGATGAAGCAAGAGAAGCATCACAGAGCTATGTTTGGGATGGAAACAATTATGTGCCATGAGAGAACTGTCACGGTGCCACAACATGCTTCCATTGTACATTAAGGCAATCCAGGACAATATTTCCAGATATTCCACAACATACAAATGGGGAGAGAGAGAGAGAGAGAGAGAAGAAGAAGAAGAAGGGGAGAAAAAGTCCCCCTGCTGTGGCAGGAACCTGGAGACTCTCAAGGGTCAGAAGAGCCTGAGAAGATCTCTGAGAATATTCCCAGATGGCTGCGATGATCACCTGGCAGTTCAATGCTCTCACGAGTGTTGCAGTCACCTCCATAGCCAGTGCCCCATCTCTGAGGTGAGCAGCCACTACAGACTATAAAGCAAAATCTCTAACCTTACCCTCAGCATTGATTTCACTCCCTCCAAAATTTCTCCACTCCCACTACATACAAGCACAACCTGAGATATGTGCCGGTGTCTGTCCTGTGCCCACCGTTTTGCTTTCTGAGGTTACAGCTCCCTCAGTGAGTGGCAGGGAGCATCACTGTTGCATGGCAGTTCTGACTCCAACCATCCAAGGGCAGGCTAAAATCCAGCCTTTCCATGCACATTCAGGTAGCCTGTCCTTCAACTGAACACAGTTCCCTTCACCTGTAGTCCACTCCCAAAACTGACCCTAGTCCCTGGGACTAAATTCTCCCCCTTCCAGCACAGGACAGCTGAATCCTGCCCACTCTGGTGTTCTCTTAAAGCAATAACAACCCTGGGGCCCTGCAGAAGGGATACCATTACCTGCATGTCTCCACAGCAGTGAGCAGTGGCCGGGGTTCAGGACCACAATGAAGAGTCGTACATCCTGCGGGGTGGTGGACTCTAAGCGTAGGTGTGTGCAGAGGCAAGACCTCAGAGGTCATGAGACAGAAAGGGTTTACAGTCACCTCCCCTTTAGGGAGCTCCAACCCCAGCCCCTTTAGGGAGCTCCTCTGCCAGTGCCAGATAGAATGTAGCCAGGGAGCCTGACCCTACCCTGGCTGCCCCCGCCCAGCAACTCCACCGCCTCAGGCCACAACTGAGGATGTCCCATTGGCACGGGGGGTGCCAGAGGAGTCTGGCAACCCCTCGCCCCCATCCCACCCCGTGGCATTCATGAGCAGCGGGGGGGAGATGGAGTGCTAGCCTCTCTGGTGTCAGGCATCAGGCCACCTGTTTCTGAGCAGTGGTACCAACCTCAGTGCCAGGGTGGTGACCCTCCTCTCACTGCAGCTGCAGTATGACTCAGCGGTGGTGCAAGAGGTCATCCCTGGCTGGCTGCTGACCATCCATGTCACTCTGGCACACCAGAGCGTGCTCCTCATAAACGTCTATGCACCCACCAAGGGGAGGGAGAGGGTAGCCTTCTTAGAGACTCTGGGCGATCTCCTGCGTGATGCCAGTGACAGCGATGACCTGCTTCTCATGGGCGGAGACTTCAACTGTACCATCAACTCGTGGCTAGACTGGACGGGGACAGAAGCGCACCTGCCTTTGGCCTGCAAGCTGCAGGCCATGCTAGAGGTGGTGGACCTCGTCAATGCCTGGTAGGTATCGCATGCTGACACGCGCCAATACACCTGGGCAAAGATGAGCACCAGTGGGATCACCATGGCCCACATCGACCACCTCTACATCGCCCGGCACCATCTGCCACTACTGCGCAGCAGGTGCATTATTCCATCTGGCCTCTCGGACCATGCCCTGGACTGCTGTAAACTCAGCCTGCCCAGCAAGGTGCACACGCAGGCCTCTTACTGGTGCCTCAACATCAGCCTGATGCATGAAGCCCACTTCTGGGACTGCTTCAACCTCTGGAGGAGCTGGGAGGCTATGCAAGCAGACTGCTCCTCTTGGCGGCTGTGGTGGGATGTGGGGAAGATCCAGGTCCGGGCATTCTGCCAGCAGTATTCCAGCTGGCAGCGAGAGAAATGTGCCACTGCACCCAGGAGGTAGACGAGGACGTGGCAGAGCTCAAGGTGGACCTGCTCTGTGCCGACAACAGCGCAGTACTCCTCAAAAGCCTCCAGTCCCACAAGAAATGCCTGTGGGAGCTGGCAGAGGGTGTGGCCTGCTGTGCAAGGGTGAATGCTCGCTGCCAGGAGCTGGCAGAGGTCAACGCCCTAACCCACTTCTTCTCTGGCCTGGAGAGGCGGTGGGCTGCAGCGAAGGCCTTGCACCATCTCAAGACCCCAGAGGGACGGCTGCTCACGGACCTGGGCGAGGTGTGGGGGCACACCATCACCTTATATCAGGACTTGTTCCACATGTCCAGAGGCCACTCAACAGCTGCCTAAGGACCTGCTGCACCTCTGCACTTTGCAGGTCGAGACCCTGGAGTGCAAACTCTCCCTGGCAGAGCTGGAGGCTGCTGCGGGGGGGCTTGCCTCAGGCAGGTTCCCAGGCCTTGATGGACTGCCCATGGAATTTTACAAAGCCTTCTGGCCCCTCCCTGGGTCCAGCCTCCTCTGTATCTTCCACAAGAGCCTCGCCGATGGGACCCTGCCGAGCAGGTGCTGGTGGACAGTGCTCGACTTGCTGCCCAAGAAGGGGGACCTCGGCTGCCTTAAGAACTGGTGGCCCGTCTCCCTTCTGTACGCCAACTATAAGATCCTGGCAAAGGCCCTGGCAAACCGTCTCCGCACCGAATGGCCTCTGTCATGGGACCCAAGCAGAGCTATGGTATGCCAGGCAGGACCATCCAGGACAACCTGTTTCTGCTGCATGACCTGCTCACGGCTGCGGAGCGTTTTGGCCTGGATATCAGCCTGGTCTCTCTGGACCAGGAGAAGGCCTTCGATCATGTGGACCACTGGTACCTGCTTGGCACCCTTGGGGCTTTTGGCTTTGGGCCTCTTTTCATCACGGCACACCGGGTCCTGTAACATGATGCCTCCAGCCTGTTGAAGGTGAGTGGTGTGCTGTGCACCCCATTCCCCATGCGTTGGGGCATCCGCCAGGGCTGCCCCCTGTCGGGCATGCTTTACACCCTAGCCATCGAACTGCTGCTGCACGTTCTGAAACATGGCCTGACCGGCTTAGCCCTTCCACCTGCATCAGGCCCAACCCCCCCCACCGATGTGGCTGATGGTGTACGCGAACAATGTGACAGACCAGGAAGACGTGCGGGACCTGGTGGACTGCCAACGCACCTACAAGCTCGTTTCATCAGCCCACATCAACTGGGGCAAAAGCGACACCCTCCTGCTTGGGGTGTGGGCTGGCACACCCTACCCCGGACTTGCCGGGGGGTGTCACCTGGCACCAGGTAGGCCTCAAAACCCTGGGGGTGTTCCTGAGGCCACCGGCCTTTGCAGCCCGCAGCTGGGAGGACCTGGCAGAGGGGTTGGAGGCCTACTGTGTCTGGGTCCTCATCGCTGAGTACCTGGCAGCAGCGACCCTGTGGCACCAGTACGCTGTGCTGGACCCTCTGCTGGAGCTGTTTGAGAGACTGCAGCAGATCCTGCTGGACTTCTTTTGGGGTGAACAGCACTGGCTCCTGCAAGCTGCCCTCTACCTGCCCACCACCGAGGGGGGCCAGGGCCTGATTGACCTGGCGGCCTACCACCTGCAAGCCCTCCAGTGGCTCCTGTATGACAAGGGCCACCTCCCATGGTGGCAGCTGGCATACCAGTTCCTGCACCGAGTAGGGGGCCTCGACTTTGACTGGGAGCTGTTCATTCCAGACCTCACCTTCCTGAACGGGGCAGTCCTCTCCTCATTTTACCGCAGCATGGTTCAGGCCTGGCAGACTGCCTTCCACCTTTGTTCCCAGGCCAGGTGCCTGCAGCTCCCACAGGTGCTTCAACCCAGCACTGCAGCATGCGATGCCAAGTCTAGCCTCCACCAGCCCCATGCCCACCCTCATCAAGGCACACACCACCTGTGCGGGGCACTGCCTGGACCCTGCTCAGTTGGGCTGGCTTTCGGCTGAGGCCCTGGCTGCCTGGCTGACCCTGCACTCCATCTGCACCATAGGCCGATTTCTGTGGGCCATTAGGGCCACCCTCCTGATGGAGTTGGCAGCCACCCTGGAAAGCTACCTCCAGGTACACTGGGCCCTCCCCAACATGTGCGATGCCTTCCCGCTGCTGCCAGTCATCCCCTATAGATGCTGGGATCTATAGGACATTTGAAGGGCTATTGGCTATTCACATCACCAGGACAAGGCTCTGGGGACCATGGGACCATTTTTCTTGGTTTTCTATGCTCCATTCTCCAGGCAGAGCACCACTGGGCAGAAGGTGCTGACTCTCCAGCTGCATTTTAGAGTCAGTGGGTGCTGTCTGAGGTGCTCTGCTCTATGTCCCCCAAGGGTACACTTGTTTTGACCATTTCACCCACTTGGACTTCCTGTTTTCATCCCCCATAATCAGTTGGACCTTTTGTCTCTTACCGCCCCCAAGTGGTGACCTTATGTAACTTGGTGAGCTTGAACCCACATACAAAACAGTCCAAATACAGCCTGAAAGACACAGCACCAGCATCCCGAGCACCTGACCAGCAGCATCCTAGGCACCAAAACTACACTGAAAGACAAGAGCACAGGGACAATGTCTGCCTGGGATCCAACTACCCCCAACACAGGCTGAGACCCTTCCTCTTGAACCCCTGTACAGGACTGAGCAGGAACTCCCTTTGCCCCACTCACCTGCTGCACAGCTCATGGGATCAAGCTGCTCCAACCCAAAAGACCTGGTCACTGCTGTTTTCTCTGAAACATGCATATCCCCCCCCAGTGGGGAAGCAACGGTGACAGGCCAGCAGCCATGCCTTGTGTCTACAGGACAACGCTTGACACTGAGCCACCCATCCTCCTTCCAAAGGCAATCCCAACCTGAGTTCACCCTTTTTCGATATGGACCTCCCCTGCCCTAAAGAGACCAAAATAGCACATATGACCATTCCTGATACAAGCCATCTATTCCTCAAGCAAAGGGACATACAAGTGGTGGGAGATGGTTTATTTTCCGAACGAAGGTAACATTCTTCTAGCAGATAGAGGACACAGAGCCTCGCAGAATAGCGGTGGAAACCTAAGCCCTTAGGGTTCCTGCTGTTGGGCACGACCAGAGCCTGCCTTGTACACAAGAGTGGGCATCTGTGCCTGGGCATGAGCAATCACCGGGGGATCATGGGTGTTTCTCTATCTCTGATTTCCATGGGATTATGATGCCCTGCACAGCTGTACACATCATTAGTTCTTGGATCTTTCTGTTTGCCTGAGGGGTTGCCAAGCTACTGTGAAATCCCAACACAGTCAACAAAAGAAGCAGCATGAATGTAATGAAGGTAGGAGGGTCCCATCTCTTCTGGCTCTGGCAGTTGCAGCTTGGCTTAAGGGGAGAGATTGCTGTTACCTGGCAAAAGCATGAACTGAAAGAGATGACGGAAGGGGCTGAGGTTTGTCTCTGTCTATGTGACTTCACAGACAGCCTGGGGTTAGCAGTCGAACTGCTCCAAGATGCAGTTTAGGACCCTGCTGTCCTCCCTGTAAACAGCTGCACAACTTCCAGGGATTTTAACTGCTGGATCCATTTCCATTCCTGAGCTTCGAGCTCCTCTTTCATGTGCAGCGATCTCCTTGACCATCCTCAACCACATTGTCTCTCTGGTGGGTTAATCAACTTTATTTTTAATTTGTGCCTCCTTCTTCTTCTTACAAATGCAGAATTGATTTTCTCCACAGCCTCCAGGTTTCACTTTATCACCTTGCAAATATGCACAAGCTCCACCTGGATAATTCTGAGGACTGGGAACTGAGAGCACAAACCTGGAAGGCAAAGCCACAAGCTACAGTCAGGTCTATTCTTCTGAGCCCTGTGTTAGGACATAGAGCTGGGAGTTCTCCCTGCTCCCAGCACTGACTGCAGGGGATGCTCTCAAGCCGTGACCCAGAAAAAGGAAGGTTAGAGGTGTTTTGCAGCTCAAGCCATTACGACTGGTTTGATGAGAAAGAGGCAGGGGAAATTACACCTAGATGCAAATGCTGCATTTCAGTGCAGAGCTGAGTACAACTACAGCAGCAGTGCCTGGAGCTGCTCCTCTGTTGGCTACCACTGGTGGTGCTGCCTTCCCCGGCCCTTCCTCAGCACTAGGCAGCCATCGTGCCCACCCCACAGCTCTGCCTTTTTCTGAGCAGTGCTCTTTGCTGCACTTAGAAGGGCAGGCAGACATTTTGCAGAACGATTAATCCCCTCCACCCCTCCAGTGCTCCTGGGGATGGCAGGAGGCGTACCATGGGGGTGGTTGCTGGCCTCAAAAACCCTGCAGGAGCAGTCACAACAGCAGAAGCTGACCTTACCCGCTGAGGTACAGACTAGCAGTCAGCAGGTGGAGACAGTAGAAAACTGGGAAACAGGTTGGTTTTTTTCCACAGTATCTCTCATTTCTGGTGTAATTTCCTCTGGCAGAGGAATGGCATCTGTTACGTTTTGTGTTTTGAACCTTGGTCTTACACACACACACACTCACACACACACACACACACACACACACACACACACACACATATACCTTCTCAGGTATAAGAGTGAAGTGCACTACCATTTTTAATAACGAATGCGTGTGCCACATATCAAAAGTTTGGGAACCACTGCCCTAGTGACACAGACTTACAGGCCAGAGGAAAGAGCTGAATCATCCGCCCAGACCCACTTTGCCTTTCTTGAGTCAAACAACAATCCAATCCAGAATGGGTAGTAGTATAGGCTGCTTCCACGATCTTCAGCATATTCAAAAGACCTTGTGGTTAAGAAACTCTGCACAACAACAGGATCAGATGGAATGGCAGTGAGTTATCTAAAATACATGGAGAGCACCAGAGAGCACAATACTATAACCATGAGCCTCAATGCTGAGATTCCCCCCTGTAGAAAACTGAGTAGCCTGTACCTGCATAAGACCCAGGGCCAGCCTGACCAGATAAATACTCAAACCTACTGCGGGTAATACTGTAGGATCAGACACATGGCTCAACCCAAGCACACAGCACTTTGGAAATACAGAAAAGCACCTGTGTGCATAGAGATAAATCCCTCACTGAATCCTATGCTCCCAATCCTCCCCACCCCCAGCCCCACTGAAGCTGTACCAGAAAGCAGAGCCCCAGAGCCTGACTCCTGCCTAGCTGCATTCGTACGGCCACATTGTACTGATACATTGAAGGAAACACTCATTTACCAACTCTTTTTTACTCTCTATCTTGAGCAGCTCAGCAGATTGAGAAGCGCAGGATGAATTACATTGCTCCCAAGTTCCTCTTTGAGGAGCAAACAGGTAGGACTTGTCCTGCTTGGCTGTCCAGAGTGCTGCACACTTCTCCCCTGGAACAAAGACACACCACAAATCAACCCACCACTTCCCCTATTGCCCTGTGCCGGGCATGTTGCTGTCAGGAACAAAACGATTTTACCCACTCTGATCCTCCACCTCATGTACCTTATGGGCCCTACAGTGCATTGGAGGGGAACCTTCTGTTTCATACACCTGAAAGGGGATTGGTCTTCCCCTCCAAAAATAGCTGCTTCACTGAGTACAACGGCAGAGAGTGGCGCCCACAGCCTTATGGGTGAGTCAGGAGCCTGACACGCCCAGACAGAGACGATCCCCCTTTCTCCACAGCTCCCCACCAGCAGGACCTCATGGCCGCATCTCCAAGGATATCCCTCAGCCAAGGCCAGTCCATCTTTGGGTGGTGATGTTGCATCATGTACAGGACTGGACCTGCACTGTGGAGACAACAGCCTATGATTTACCTGTGTCCTGGGGCTGCATTATTGATGTTCCCTGCAGGCTGGGTTTTTGGTAGGATGTTGGCTGAGAGGTGCGCTGCTCCCCTTCCTTCACAGGGCTTTCCTGCTCTGTGCCCGGCTGACACACTGAAACATCAAAACACCACATCAGTGCCTGTTATTCATAATAAAGGCTGCAGAGGAGTTTCACAGATCTGATGCTCTCTCTTGTGCAGTGTCACACACCCCTTGGTTGCACTAATACTGTTTGCACTTACAGCTCCTGGACATTTTCTGGTGGAGCACTTTTTCTTATTGCAAAGATGAAGATTTCTCAGAATTGAGCCCCAGTGCACAAACAGTCATTTTGACTACACGCTCCATGGAGCTGGGTCCAGTTGGCAATGGAAACCTGTCTTGTTCCTAGGATGCCCACCTGGAGGGAGGCAAGGGAGTTGGTCTCCACCACAACTTCCTTGCAGGGCTACCTTGGAGCTGGGCCTCTGGTGGCTTTCAAGCTCGCCCTGGGGCTCTTTAGCTTGGAAACGCGCAGGCTCAGGGGTGATCTGATGGCCACCTATAAGTTTATCAGGGGTGACCACCAGTATCGGGGGGAACGTTGTTCACCAGAGAGCCCCAAGGGATGACAACTAGGTCGAACGGTCATAAACAACTACAAGACCATTTCAGGCTGGACATAAGGAAGAATTTCTTTACTGTCCAAGCCCCCAAGGTCTGGAACAGCCTGCCACCGGAGGTGGTTCAAGCGCCTACATTGAACACCTTCAAGAGCAAACTGGATGCTTATGTTGCTGGGATCCTATGACCCCAGGTGACTTCCTGCCCTTTGGGCAGGGGGCTGGACTCGATGATCTTCCGAGGTCCCTTCCAGCCCTAATGTCTATGAAATCTATGAAAACAGAAAGCAGAGGGATTGCATTTTGGTAAGAAACGTGGAGGCTCGGGTTCTGCGCTCCCATCTGGGGCTAACCAAATATCAAAAGCTTTGTTTTGGGGGTGGGGGGGAGGGGCTTGGAGTTGTTTTGGGGGGGAACGTTGTTGTTTTAAGAGCTGAAATCCAGGTCCTGCCCAGCTCAACCTACTTTGGGTGGCAAAAGCATTATGACTGGGCACAGAGTAAAGTGCCTAGAGCACCTGTCCCAGTTAGCACAGATCTGCTGATGTCAATCCCACACAGCATCAAGGGGTTCACAAATCAATAGTATCACCTGTCTGCACCACAGCCCAAGCTCGTATCTTCAAAACAATGCTCACTTAAGGAAGCAACCCACAGATGGGGATCTGCCGGGCTAACAATCTGCTTACAAAATCTATGACTAAAGTTGTATTTTTCACTGCACAAAACAACACAGATTTGCCCATATGACATAGCACTTGGAGTGTATGAAAATACTTCCTATTTTCCAAACATGGGCTTCAGGGCTGCAGGCCAATTCTCTGCTGCGTTGATGAACTTAGCTGCAGGGAGCTCACCACAGCTAGGACCTTTCATGCTAATCTGAGGCTCCAGCCCAGAATAGCCACATGTGTAGAAGCTCTAGTGGCTTATAACAGAAATAGACAGGTATACAGGAGCCAACACACATAGCATATAGTCTGCTAAAGGGGCTGAAGAAACCAGCAGTGAAAACCATAATGGAACTGTGACCTCAGTGTTTTCAGACCAGACTCACTCTGTTACTATCAAGTGTGACCCAACGCAGGTTGCAATGGTAATGAAATTTATACACTGCATCAAGCTGCTCTTGCGGTGCTACTGGGCTTTGGATTTAAGAAGACATCAGTAGTTATGGGAGAGTCTCCACTTGAATTGTGAGTGGGCTGCTTGTGCTCTGGGTCCAACTCAGAGACTTCCATATAAAAGCAGCCTAGAAGTGTGTTTTGTAATAGAGATGGTAACTGCTCAGATGTGGTCAGTATAATGTTGGTGCAAAAGCAGACACTACAAAACTAGAGAATTGCATCAATATGATGTGCAGGGGGCAGCTGAACTGCATAAAGGAAGAGGCTGATCTCTGTTTCCCTGGCTTCTGTGCAGTTCATCTTACAGGCCAGAACTAAACTCATTTACCATGTCCTAAACACTGCTTAATACTGAACACAGCCCACAAACACATCTAGTATTTGAGTGACATAATACTGCAAGTAATACCATATGTTAGCCTCTTCTGAGATCCATTAGAAAACACTTCCTGCCCTCAAGAGTTTTGCAAGGACTCCTCTCAGATCCATAGTGATTCCTTCTGTATGAACTTACCATTGTACCCCAAAACTGCTGTTGCTGTCAATAAAATCAGGCAGAGAATCCCAAGAACAAGGGTGGCAAGCTGCCATCGAAGAGGTGTAGCTGAAGGATCTGGTGAAGAAATAAAAATAATGCAAGTATTGACATCAGTCAAACACAGAATGCCCTGCATCAACCTTGAAATAACTTGGCAAGGGAAAGAAGGAAGAGGCTTATGTGGGCATCTTTAAACATGTCTCCTAGAAACAGCTGCACTTGTTGAAAAACAGTGAGTGGGGTGACTGAAAAACAGTGAGTGGGGTGGCAGGGGAAAGAGCAGTATGTGAAAGGAAATGACCATTGGTGCCTTGAGATCGACCAGGTCTTAGGAAAGTGTCTTGCAAATAGCAGAGCTCTTTTGGGGAAAAACATGTTTGAAGTCTCGTGTGTACAGTCATGGAAACAGATGGTGCAAGATCAGCAAGAGATAAACAACTGACTGGCACAGCAATCCAGGGCAATGCTACAAGGAAAAGAATATATCAGACAAATGCTTAGGAGCTGCGTCTGCTTATGTCTCTCTCCTGTTTGTGAGCATGCTGGACAATGCTAGGGTGTCATCACTATTGCATGCATATCATCTGCAAAATCTGGAATGCATAACTCTTCATTTGCAGAGCAGTCAGGCTGACATAAATATTCTAAATATGGTCTGTTCAGATCACAAAACATGAAAATACTGAGCATCATGCCAACTGGATTTTACAGTCAATTGGATCATCCACAACCAGGTTTCCGTTATATATATACATAAGCCCCAAATTTGCTTTTCATGAATGCTCAGGCACTGTGCCTGGATATTAGTGTAAAGGGAACAAAAAAGAGTTAAAATGTGCTCAAAATAAAGTGTTTTTTAGCATTTAATTGAATGCTCCTGGGAGAAAACTACCTCAATCTGCCAGTTCAACACTTAGTATCATATCTGAAGCAATTCTTCCCACTGTCACTCTCTGTGTTCAAGTACCAACTATTAGTAGCTCCAGTGATTAACATTTCATTGTGGCACTAGGGGGCAGAGGTACATACACCATGATACTTAGCTACCTTGCCCTACAGCTGGTACACCATAATATTTAGTGGCCTTTCCTTACAGCTGGAACCCTAGGTACAAAGTAGCACTGTCCTGGCAGTGGGAGGTAGCCAAGGAGCAGATACATTGGGAAAATGTCCAATGGCCAAAGTACCTTCTGTGACTCCCTGAGGCAGGCTGAGAGGTGATTTTCCAGACACTTTGGAGAACATGGAGGAAAAGAATTAACATTTCTTAATTGGTAGTTTCCTGGTACAGTATTTAATTGGAATAAATGAAATGAGCATTGGAACCATATAATGGATGATAAAGGAAAAATAAAATGCTGGTTACAAGCTTCAGGGCTGCACTGTGCAACAGTATTACTCAAGTGAGAAGCCCCATGGGGGAAGTAACATGCAGCAGTTGGATTGAGTACATAGTGCACAACCTGGGTGTGACATGTTTTTTGTGTCTATGGTGGTAATGGGGGCAGATGAAAGCCAAGTACTCTTGTCAAACCATGACAATATTACCTTTATTTCTCCTCCGAGGGCTTGGGCTGTCTCCAGTCCCTCTGCCCTCTGTCTCCTGAGCTCTCGTGCTTCTCTCCTGCTCAGGCAGGTTCTGAAACTTCAGCTCAGAATAAGTTGTCATATCATCCTGTATCGCTGGTGAGGTAATAGGAACAAACGGTTTAGACAAGAATTTATGGGGGCTCACAAAACAATACGGCCATGAACAAGATGCCTATAGCAGGGTCCCTGGTTTGTCTCTTATCCCATGAGGGAAGACAATATATAGAAAAGTAATTCAAAAGGGAGACAGGAAACAGCTGTCACAGCTCAGGTAGATGCAGGAGCCAAAGCCAAAGGGCCCCCAGAAATATCGCATCTCAGATGGGGGGAAACAGAAGAGAATCCAGGGCCCAATGACGAGGAAGTCCCAGTGAATGGGTTATAGGCAGTGGAATATACAGAGATGCTGTGAGCTCACTTGGTTTTGTGATCACTGGAGAGGCATGTGACTGAGGAATTGAGAGCTCCTCAAACACTACTCAGACAAATCAAAGGTTTGGATATTTGCTGCTGATGTTTTTTACCAGCTACATGGAAATATACAGTAGTGTACAGCTTTAACTCTAAGCAGTATATACAGTGGTAACCCCAGCCATCATATTATCTAGGAAAATGCCCTTACGACTGAGGTGTTGGATTCAACCGGAGGTAACCCACTGATTGATTTTCAAAAGCCAGACTTGACTTGTCAAAAAGTGATGGAGGCTTTTTTCTGGGGAATCAAAGGGATTAAGGCCCAGGCTCTCACCTGCTCATGTGCAAGAGCAGGACTGAAGGGATGAGGAGGGCACCAGAGCTGCACAGCACCTTGGGTCCTATGTGGTGCTTGGGAAGAATAGAAGCTGTCCTTTTGCTCAAATGTTAAACAGCTACAAATTGAGACATCTCAAGCAACCTGAAGAAGGGCCTTGGCCAAAAGTGTCAGAGGTCTGCTTCTTTTTTGTAAGCAGGTTTATTTGATGACAGTTAATACTTATAATAATGATTTTGAATTTCTACCTCAAAAATACAATATATCATTTTTTGAATTATATTTGATTCTGTGCTGTACCTTTCTTTCCAGGTTTCTTCCTTTTAGACCGATCAAATTTCACATCCAAGTAGGTTACCGCATGCTCACTCATGTCCAGTACTAGGGAGAGAGAAATTATACCCTGGGTTTGAGAAGGCTGAATCAGTTGGGTGGTACTCACTGGGGAACTGCTAAGCTTCCTAAACAGCCTGATCCTTTGAGATAACTCTAGGAGGGGCTCAGCTTTCTAGCATGTTATACTCTGTAACCACTTTAGAAGATAAATCAACATTCAGGGAAGATAATGTCTGCAAAGTCACTCAGAAGTTAGAAGACACCAGACTTACTGTGGCCTACACTATTAAATCAGCTCAGCTCTTCTGAGTTATCATGAATTAGAGCAGCGCATACTTTCCTCTTGCCTACCCCTGTCTCCAGGTTCCTTCAGTGCACAGCATGGATGGTGTTCACCAAGTAACCATGTGTTCAGAAAATTCTTTGTGTGTGTTAATGAGTCACTATGACATGTTATCGTCATAGTCCAAAAAGCACATTTCTCATGTTGAAATCTTGTTTTGAAAGCAAAATTCTCTCTTCCACTGTTCAACTCATGACTTTTCATATCAGCCTACTCATTGCCTTCAAGAAGTGTTGCAACATACTAGGTGCCTCTACACATGCAATTAATGCAGTGTGATAAACTCCAATACAGTTCACGCCAGAGAAAACTGTTCATTAACACAGCATTTCCATGTGTTGCCAGGCCTGCAGCACTTTAAGGCTGGGCAGAATAACCCTGGGCTACTAGAGGGCCCCAAACTCTGGATGATGGTATTGTGTGGCATCAGGCCTGGCTGGGGCACGAGGGTGCTATAATGTGGGGACAGACAGCATACAGCCCCTGCATTTTAGCACCTTGTGCCCCATCCCATCCCTGTCATTGTCTACATGTGCATTTCCGTGGAGTTATGAATTTACTGTGCTGTAATACCGGCACATGCGTAGACTGTGATGCTTTTCTGTGGAGCTAATTAGTCAAATCTGCAGTGAAGTGCACGTGTAGGTGCACCCACTGCTGTTGGCTGGATCCAATATATAAGGACCCTAGAACTGATCATTGAGCTTCACTGGCCTTCAAGGCTAAAGTTATTACTCATGGTTTGAGCCAAATATACCTCCCTTTCCTATAGCTATTATGCCAGGGAAACTGCGGAGGACAAGTGTAATTCAACTAATTACACGAGATCTCTGCCTAGCTTGCACCAGATAAGAGGGAGCTGTCAGTGTGGCAGCATACAGGGAGAACGTGCTTGCCTGAGGTTGGTCCAGCTGGTCAGGGATGGGGCTCCTTCATACAACCAGGCCGGATCCTCTGCTGATGCAAATCGGCATTGTTCCACTGGAGCCCAAGGAGCTCTGACACCAGCAGGAGGTCTGGCCCATTGTGCTTTAAGGAGAGTGAAAGAATCTGAGCCTTGTCACCCTCTTTGGGGACATGAACTCCTTTCAGATCAGAAGCTTCACCCATCTCCCATGCTCCATCACGTCCTTGTGAGAGGGCATGACAAACCAACCTGGGCTGTGAAAGGTAACAGCCCAGGAGGCTTGTGATGCCTCATCCTCACAAGAATATAACCATTAACTTCTACCTGGTGACAACTACCTGCAGCTCAGTCCATCTCCATGCTTCCTCCTCCCTGCCCCTGACAAACATTTACACACCCCACAAACTTCCCATCCATACATGCATTGCAAACACATTGACAAGCAGTTTCTCTTGGTCCCCGGAACCACTCCACCTCACCTAGTGTTTTCCCAAATCACCCAGTTCTGCTCCTTGGGCAGCACAGTCTAAACCAGAAGGTATAACAGGATAGTCATGTTCTGGAGGAAACAAACCACCCCTCAAGCCCCACCTAGTTCTCCTATTGAAAGAATCAAGCCCCCGTACCTTTTCTTTTTCTTCACAGTTCACAAGCAGAGGATGGTGGGCTTCTGAATTTGAACACAAGAACGTGCATCTGCCCTGCTGCCGTTGATGAGTCCCTGTAAGAGGAAAGAGCACAGCGATGATTGGCTGGATGCGGCTCCATCTGTGACCTCACAGGAAACGCTGTTTTGCTCATCTGAAATGCTCTCCCTCCCTAACACTGTTACAGAGATAGACTTTTATCTTTACAGTATCAGAAAGTTTCCAGGCTGAAGTGCTCACTGCAAAGCCCCTGTGGGGATGCTGAGATACTGAGCCTCTGCACAGCACAACCACTGTCCCCAACCAGGTTATCCCAGAGCCTCTTAAAGGTACAGGTCCCTGCATACCTTGCTGGAAGGTAAAAAAGTCCTCCTGTCTTCACATGTAGCAGTTGTCCCCAGATGTCCTTTCAGGAGGAGCTGAGAAGTCAGAAACAGGAGCTAACCCATGGGTTTTTTCTGCCAAGTTTCAATCACACTCTTTACAGCATTTGTAGTCCAGATTACCAGAGACACATGCAGAGTCCAGCCATACTGGATTCTCCCTTCAAGCCCCAGCTCCTGGAGCTGTGGAAGTGGGTAAGAGGATCAGTCGTCCCTCAGCAGAACATGCAACTCGACACTGGGAGGCGTACAGGTGAGCTGATATCTTGATCCAGAAGGCACCAAAAGAAAAGACACATCAGACTCACCCTTCTGGTGTGTTTACATCTCATGGCTTTCAACCCAGTCTGGCTGCTCTCAACAGGTGCAGTATGCAGCCGTGACAGCCTGCATACATCTTCTATATAGGCATGTCCCTACAAGGGAATGTCTTCTTCAGATACAACTACCTCCCCTCCTCGCCCTCTAGCACTCCCTTGGAAGGCTCTTCTCAGGTTCCCAAGTGCTACGACCTCTCTGAGGCCTGATATAGCTCAGCACCCTCAGCCACCAAAGCCCCTGAGCCCCTGTCTCCATCCACTACACCCATCTGTCCTGGTTTCTACTCCAGGCACTGGCCTATCCATCCCTCCAGTCCTGATTCTTCTCTTTTCATTTCACTCCCTCTAGCTCCCTTTATCTTCTTCTCTTCCTCCTTTTCTCTTTCAGACTCCTTCTCTTCTTGCACCTCTGCTCCCACACTACCCAACAGGGTTTCCTGAGCTACATTTCCTAGGGGCTCAGGATCCAATCACTGCAGTGGGGCTGCAGGGCCTCAGCACTTCCCAGCAGCAGAGCACATGCCATCCTCAGCCTGATTTTCCCTTTGTGAGACCTGTGCTGAGACAGGAGAATGCAAATAATGTGGAGAGAAAGCCTGAGAACCGGCTACAAGGGGCTCTGATTCTATAATGCCACCAGGAAGCTTTGTGAGCTTTGTGTTCAGGGGACAAGGGTGTTGCCCAAACGGCTAGATTCGTGCCCCTGGAGGCTAGGCCAATTTTACCTTCAGGAGAGAGTCACACACACGGTGAGTTTATCATGGGTTTATTGGTTGCGCAAGCAATGCCAACAGAGGAGCTGATGCTCTAATCACTGATGGCCCCGATCTTTTCTTGAGATTTCATTTTTATAGTTCACATAGACAAAGGGTTACAGCGTGTCATACAACTATTGGCAGCACCACAATTTCCTGGGTGTTACGTCTTATCTTAGGGGCGAGGATTAGTTTGCTATTGGTTAGTATCCCCTATCAAGTTTCGTGCATGCGTATTTCAAAAGCAGAACTGCGGCAAAAAGTTCTGTCGCATGCGCAGAAGAAAAGGGGAACTACGGCAAAGTTAGTGTCTGGTAGTAATCTTATACCTTAATGTAACTTCAGGGCATTATGCAAGTATGGCTATAAAATGCAGAGCAAGCAAGAAGGAAAAGAAACCCACAACTCAGTCGTTAGGCCTCGTGCTTCTTACACAAGGGATCATGAGGGGCTCATACGGTTATTACTCAAGAGAAGTCTAGGTCATGGTGTATTTTTACCACAA